AAATTAGACGAATAATATTTCCTAACATTTCGTATGTCCTGTTTAAATTGATTTTAATTATAACGATTTAGACATTTTTTCCCAATGGGTCGTCTGGTATTGTAGTAGTACCTTATGTACACACATAGATAGTAAAGTAGGTTTATACCAGATGGGACCAATACCTGGAAATGTATGTCCAGATCAGAGTTTCTTCCAGGCATCTCTTCGGGGGGGCTTTGCCCCCCCGAAAAATTTTTACCGCCCCCCCGAACGAAATGAAATTTATATAATTTATATAGAAAATATATACTTTTAACAGTGTCCGCCCCCCCGAAGAAAGTTTACCGCCCCCCCGAAGATTTCAAGTGCCCCCCCGGAGAAAAAAGTCTGGAAGAAACACTGGTCCAGATGTGATGGGTCTTTGTGCTTTGTGGCGATGTAGGCAAAAGACTCAGTGGGATGTGACATAATATATATATATACTATATATATATATATACGCATTATAACCTGAACGTGAACATGCGTTTGAAGTGAAAACAATTTTAGTCTACATTTTGGTGTCATTGGGAGAGTCGAAAAGACGAAATATCAATCTGAGACCACATTTTTCGAGATGGCTAAAAAAAAAAAAAAAAAAAAAATAACCGGGTCACTGTCGTGTTACAAATTTCTGCTCTCATTTTAAAGTAGGTCAGCGTATGATGATAACAGTAGTGAACAGCCCAGTACATCACAGCCACACTAACTGATGACATTCATACGCCCATTTATACTGTCATAATGTTATTTAGGAGGGACGAGTGACGCTGTTTAGGCAATTGGCTATCTACTTGATGGGGTATACAACACTCCAAGGAATAAATTTAAAAAATGACTCAATAAATACTTTTGTGTTGGGATATATATATATATATATATATATATATATATATATATATATATATATATATATATATATATATATATATATATATATATATATATTTTTTTTTTTTTTTTTTTTTTTTTTTTTTTTCCGCCACATACTATGTTATTGCTTTGAACAAGTCAAAGAATATTCTCTCCGTTGTAAAAATAACGAAATAGGTCCTGTTTTTTTGGGTTCATTATTATTTAATTGCATTCCTATTCAAAATTTGTGGCAACAAGTCAAACTTTTATTTGTAAACACATACCATACAGAGTGTGTTGATACCGGGACTTGTTGATAGAAACGCCTGTTGTTTTTTAAAGCATCTCTCTCTGTTTAGAAAAATCAGCTCTTCGAATAGCACGAGCACAGCGAACCTAGCTATGTTAATGGGGAAAAAATCGTCTGTCAAGGGAGGTAAAACGGCTGTCAAGCTGCTAAACATTCATCAACGACAAAACAAACAAATAAATAAAGCTGGTTCTTCTGTTGTTATATATTTGTTTTGTTTACAGAACCAAGGGACAGTTGAAGTGAGATTGCTTGCTAGACATATTGTGTACAGATTATTATTTGTGATTGTGGTTGCATTTTTCACATTTGGACAAGATTTTTATTTTTTAGTTGTTTAGAGCAATTGATCGTACTACATCGTCTGTACCTGGGACTTAAGGTCGTAAATTATACGAGTTTCATTGGTCAAAATGATCTCTAGAGATTGCCGACCATATAGCATGATACCCTCCGTGTTTATATCTGTGTGTTTAGGTGTACATTAATAGTTCAGTGTATAATAAATACACTTCAGGTTATAAATAATATGAACAGCGATACCTAACTACAGACAACGCTCAAACCCATGTGCTTATAAAAGAAAAAAAAATCCATTCAACATGTGTACAACCGGATAAGTTTTGTACAACAGGATAAGTTGTGTACAACATGATAATTTTTCTACAACAGGATAAGTTGTGTACAGCAGGATGAGTTTTGTACAGCAGGATAAGTTTCACACAACAGAATAGGTTGTGTACGACAGGATAAGTTTCGTACAGCAGGATAAGTTTTATACCACAGGATAAGTTTTATACAACAGGATAAGTTTTATACAACAGGATAAATTGTGTACAACAGGATAATATTTGTACATTAGGATACGTTTTGTATAACGGGATAAGTTGTGTACAACAGGATAAATTGTGTACAACAGGATAAATTGTGTACAACAGGATAAGTTGTGTTCAACATGTACAACAGGATACGTTTTGTATAATAGGATAAGTTGTGTACATCAGGAAAATGTTTGTTGAGCAGGGTAAAATTTTTGTACACTAGCTGGATATTTTATGTACAGCTGAAGGTTACCCCAGGATGTCCTGTTTACCAACTACAACCGTAGGATAAGTTCCTTTCCCCGGATACAACAGCAATTTCCCCATAAACTATGTAAGACTGGCACCTCAACAAGTCTATCGTGCGGCAGCTTTAAGCTTAATATCCGGCTAATTACGTTAATCCCACAACATCTCAGCTACCTGTTTTTTGTGTGAATGCAGCTCATCATATTGGAGCTCTTCATATTTCATACCCTTCGCCGTGTTTTTCAGGCCAGACCCTTGTTTTCCCCATCTTATTTCCAACATGAAATAAACAAATTCTTTTATTTAGTTGTAATCTATGTGCGAACTTGGGCGCTCAACAAGTCCCAGAATAAACATTTTGATATAAGTTCACGAATTCATACTTCGACTTAGTGTAAACGCTACACTTGATCAAACATTTTATAGTGTGGGTTGAACTAGGGATGCAATACATGTTTCAGCAATCGCATGTGTCAATATGGAGTAGTAACGATACAATACTGTGGCTTAGTACTTTGTTACTGGGGTCTTTGTTTGATTGCCTATCCCTTCATTTCTCATGCTCTGTGTGTCGATGTGGGGTTGTTAATGTAGAGTTTTGATACTTTGTTTCCTGCGGTGTAAGCATGGGTGTAGTCTCGTCTTGTTTAACAAACACATTGTTTCATGTAAACAGGTTTAACAAACACATTTTTAAGGAACACATGTTTAGCAAACACATTTTTAAGGAACACAGGTTTAGCAAACACATTGTTTCAGGTACACAGGTTTAACAAACATATTGTTTCATGTAAACAGGTTTAACAAGCACATTTATAAGGAACACATGTTTAGCAAACACATTCTTTGGGGTATTCCATAAATGACGTCACGCTTTTTTGACGATTTTTACCTCCCCCCTCCCCTCCGTCACACGTCGTCACAAAATGCCAGACCCTCCCCCCCCGTAAAATAACGTCACACCTCGGTCTACAACCCCCCTAAAAATTGCTGTTGAATGTTTCTTAAAACATCGATATTTTCCAAAATCTTGTCAGAACTATGTCAACATAGAGTATTTTGATCAATTCCTATTACAATTTATTAAAACCGTTTTCTAAAACGCGAAATAACGGCTAAAACTCGTTTTCTAACATTGCTTTTTTATAATAAAAAAAGTGACGTTACATCATCTAACCCCCCCCCCATCCCCCTCATCACACACCGTCACAAAATTACGGACCCCCATTCCCCCCTACGAGTGTGAAGTCATTTATGGACGACCCCTTTCATGTACACAGGTTTAACAAACACACTGTTTCATGTACACAGTTTTAACAAACACATTTTTAAGGAACAATGTTTAGCAAACACATTTTTAAGGAACACAGGTTTAGCAAACACATTCTTTCATGTACACAGGTTTAACAAACACATGTTTTCAGGGACACAGGTTTAACAAACACGTTGTTGACGGAAGCTGAGCGTCACTGGCATAAACAAGCGCGACTTTGCATGGCCGACCATGCATGGAGCTAGAAAAGAACTGGAGATTTGAGAGACGTCTAGAGTGTCTTCCAAGTTGGGCGGGTATAGGCCAGAAATGTAGCCAGATATGTACAGAGTCTACCGCCCCTCCCTACGAACGAGATGGAATTTATATGGTAAACATATACTTTTACTAGTGTCCGCCCCCCCCCCCCTCCCTGAAAAAAGGGTTGACCGCCCCCCCCCCCCCGGAAATATCAAGTGCCCCCCCCCCGGAGAAAAAAGTCTGGAAGAAACACTGGATATGTAGCAACCCATTCCGGTGTGAACTGGCAAGTTTGCGACTCCCCCCCCCCCCCCCTTCCCTCATTTATAATATATAGTTATTTACGTTAGCGATATTCGGTAAGGTCTGGGAGCTTTTTACCAGTCACTGTATCTTAGTATTAGTAGTTTTTATGTTGGTGTCACAATACAGTTGATTTAGAAAACTGTTTAACGAGCCAGCAAAGCTAAGTATTATCCTATTTTCTTAACTGTAATGCGTCTCAAAATGAGCTTTTATTTTTTTTCCTACCCAGTTCGGGCGCTTCTCTAATTGTCGGCGCCCATGCCCCCCCCCCCTCCCCGGACGAACTAGAAAAAATATAGGCCTATACAATCTTTATAAAAATATTTACTTTAACCAGTGTCCGCCCCATGGAGTAAAAATATCTGAAAGAAACAATGAATACGTGCAATTTCCCTAAAGAATAAGAGACGTCAACTGGAGAGTCTACGAGAGTTTGCTGTCCGGTCGACGCACAAAAATACAGACACACCTTAGTGTCGTTGACAGACACACAAGAATACAAGACACCCTGGTGTCATTGACAGACTGACCACCATATTTTTACACCATAGCCTAAGATTTTGTGTTTGTTGGTAAGCTTTACAAGTTTACATGCAGACAAAAGACCGCTCGTTTAAAAGTTACATAATTTTAAACATTATGTTGCGTACTTTTTGGCAAACCAGTTACTGTCTTTTTTTTCACGGGACGAATCATCGAAATATGTTAGAAGCTAAACTACTGTTTCATGTTTTACCATTTTGTTAACATTCTTGCAGTTATTTATATATTTAGTTGTTTCAATAATTTTAGAACCATTGGATAATTTAGTTTTCCACAACTAAATGATCTAGTTTAGACTTAGAGTTCATTAGGCGTAATATAGATCTAGTCTAGTAGTCTGATTTTCACTTTTTCTTTCCGTTAATAGAACAGTCTATCTAGATCTAGATCTAGTAGCCTAAAAGTGATTTAAAAAAGTGTCTACTGTGCATGCCAACTAGTCTAGATATATCTATCTAGTCTAGACCTATTTTCTAAAATATTTCTTCAGTTAACCACGGTCGGTAGGCCTATCTTAGTGGAGCCTACTTTTAGTACTTCTACTGATAAAGAATCATCATTTTGGATTGAACCTCTTTAGTATTGAAAACCATTTACATCAGCAGGTTAAAGGTAAATTTAGGGTAAAAAGTGTAAAAAAGTGTAAAAAAAAAAAAGTGTAAACAACCAAGGCCTTTTATAAAATGGAGCAAGTAATATTAAAAGGCACAGATTTGAAAGTTTCACAATTTTGTCTTGGTACTTGGAATTTCAATGATGGAAAAGGAGACAGTCAGTGGCCAGCACAAGCATCAGAGGTAGGTCGGTGTAGGTCTAGGACTCTAGATTTAGAATAATAATCATAGGCCTATGCCTTAGACGTGTAATAAAAGTAATATTGACCGGCCTAATTAATTAATAATTAGTAATTATTTTATTTTAGGCCCTATTATTATATTATTATTATTATTTTTAAAGTAGGGCCTAAATTAAATAGGCCTAAGTATTTTATTAAATTAATAGTAATAGTAGTCGGCCTAATTAGTAATCACTACTAATTAAATAATTAGAATTAGACTTTAATTGGGCCTAATATTTATAATAGGCCTAATGAGTATAATATAGTATACAGTAGGCCTATATATGTCATATGAATATGAGTAATGAGTTTGAATGTCATTTATCTGAACACTCTTAATTAATAAATATTGAATTATTTATCATGTAATGTAGTAAATAAATGTAGCCAGACTACTTTTACTTTTATAAGTTCTTCACTTGTCATGTTTGTAAATAATTTCATAATATATGTTGTGTAGCCTACCTAAGGTCCATTAAGGAAAACATGTTTTGGTAAATCAGGATAATTAATCATAACTCCATCCAGCCTGAGACATTAGTGTCAACTAGAAACAAATAAGCTACACTTTAAAAATAATGTTACCTTAAATCATCTCTAAGCTGACACAGGAAGACTGTTGTTGTTTTCATAATTAAAATATTTAATCTATGGCACACAATAAATTAAAATATAAATAGTTATGTTATGATGATGTCTAGCTTGGTTACACTTATTAAGTCGACTTAAGGCAATGTATGCCTACTCCTTTTTATAAATAAGCCTATATAAATATATATAGTATTTATAGTAAAAAATATAATATTACACACGGGCCTACCTATTTTCACAATACTATGTTTTTTTCAGGTGTCAAAAGCCATTGTGGACAAATGTCTAGAGTTGGGTATAAACTTTTTTGACACTGCAGAGGTAAAAAATATAAGTACTTTAAAATTTATATTTTTTAAGTACTTTAAAATAAAGAAAAAAGTTGTAAATAATGTAGTATTTTGTCAAGTGGTTATGATTCATGGTAGCTTTACATATAAAGTGCAAGTTAATACTTTTTTTCTCAGGGATACTCAAACTCTGAGAAAGTTTTAGGTAGAGCTCTGCTAGGAAGAAGACAGGATGCTGTGATTTCAACCAAATATGGTTTTCGTCAGGGCGCAGATACCCCTCCTTATTCAGCACAAGAAATAGATGATGCAATCACTAAAGCATTACAAAATCTTCAAACTACATACATTGATATCATTCAGGTATTTTTCTATTTTGTCTCACTAGTTTTGTACCACAATATTAGAAACCATAAAAAGCTAAGTATCTTTAAGTATCTGGTTTCTAATAGGCCAACATGATTAATATTTTTCATGCACCAAGATCTGTAGTTTTCTAAAAAAACACCTTAAAATTATAGCATCTCAGTCGATAGGTATATACATTTCATTCAAGTGATTAAAAATTTTTTTGTAAAATATTTAGGTGTAAAATGCTAGGTCCATTAAAAGTTAGTATTTAGTCAGACTTGGTACTGGATAATGTACCACCACTTTGACAAGCCCCAAGTTGTGTGATGCAACTAAATTACAGGCTCTAGTTGGCATTCAAACCTATACTTAACATCTCCAAATATCTCCTAGTTTTATTACAACTGCAATCTTTTAACTTGTAAAATTACAGCAGTTTTTGTGGTTTTCTAATGACTGATAAAGATCTTTCCTTTTAAGCAAACTTTGTGAGTTTAACCTTTGAACTAATGATCTAGATTTTGCTATCTCTGGTGCAGTTGTTCTTCATGTGTAAAACTAGTCCAGTTGTTTGATTAGGTCAACTTTAATTTCACTCTGTTTGCCTTATTACACATCAAGAAAGTAGGGCAAGTAACTGAGGGTATTCCTTTTTTACTGTAAGCCTACAATTAGCAAAAATAATAAAAAATTGATTGTCATATTTATTTGAGTTACTTTACTCATCCTGATTAATCATCTATATCTATCTGGTTTAAGACTATCAAATCTGTTATGATTTTTCTGCATTAATAAACAACTAATTGCATTTTGTTAATTTATCTATCATTAGATGCACTTTCCCACCTATGTGAAAGATGCTAAGGAAACTATTCAGGAACTAGAGAGACAAAAGGCTCTTGGTAGAATCCGTTACTATGGGATGTCAAATTTTGGACCTCAGAAAATAAAAGACTTTATAGAAGCAGGTGGTAAGCCTGTTGTTAACCAAGTAAGTTAATTGTTAAATGTAGTCTGGTTTAAGTTTTTAGGAAAAAAATTCTATAAAAATTGGGTTTTGGGTTTTAAAAAATAAATAATACTTTTATAATTCCTTTCTGTTCAGACATCTGCCAATTTTCTTTTTTACATATTCAAAGTAAAAATTTGAAATCTCTATTCATTGTCAGGTTGGCTATAATTTACTGTGGCGCTCACCAGAACAGGGTGTGATTCCTGAATGTCTAAAACATGGTGTTGATGTTTTAGCCTACTCCCCTCTCCAGCAGGGCCTACTCACAGGCAAATATGCTCAACTCTCTGATGTTCCAGAGGGGAGAAGAAGAGGGAAGCTCTTCAGTAAAGATTCGTAAGTTCTGCTGACTATGATTTCTTTTTCTGTGTTGGCTGTCTTGTGAATATTTCCAAAAGAAAGCAAGATATGGCCTATACATATTTCAGTACATGGGCAATAATTTGTGTATAAACAGTGTTTTCAATCCGTATATATGTTGTAGTGTATAAGCTTTCATTTCAAACAATACATGAGCAATAACTTGTGATAAATATTGATTCAAACATTACATGGGCCATAACTTGTGATAAATGTTTATTCAAACATTACATGGGAAATAATAATGGTAAACATTTATTCATACAGTACACCATTATCAAGACATGGGCAAGATGGAGCAGAAGAGGAAGTAGATCAAGTTAGTTGAGTGATAATTTATAGGTTATGATTTAAAGAAAAGAGTAGTTTGAAAATAATAAAATATCACCTAAAGTTTAATATTTTGTTGAAGTTTTCACCAATGTTATTCCTAGTTTTCTAATGCTTGCAAACATTTACACTATCTGATCAGGCTCTGAAAAAAATCCATGAGATCTGCAAAACTGCAGGAGTGGAGATGTCTAAAGCTGCTCTGTCCTGGATTCTCCAACAGGAGGGGGTTGCTGTTGTCATAGCTGGGGCCAGCTCTCCCGAACAAGTTGAGCAAAACAGTCAAGTTATAAAACTAAATAACGTAAGGAAGTACAGTTTTTTGTGGGTGCATGTGGTGCTTTGTAAAATAATTCATATAACTCGCCATATAGCAATCACCTCAACATATAGTCATTAAAGTCTCATTTGAAAAAAATACATTTCTAACTATATAGGCATTATTCAAGATGGTTTGATGAAACTTCTCTTTATAGAATGCTTATTATATATATACACCAATGTTCTTATTTATTAATGACAGATCTGAACCTGTTGTTTATTCTGATCAAGTTCCTCTGTTAATCTCTGTTTACAGGATGTAGTTCGTCAGCTGACTGAGGCTACAGAGGACGTCAAGGCTAAAATAGGATTAACATTGGATCAGTGGTCTGCTGTGGACAGGTGCCAATGATATCCATATAAACACAATGTCATTTGCTGACAGTGGGGTAAACATGTTAGTTCTGGTAAACTGTTGCTTACATGTCTTACATGTCTTTGATGTTTAAAAAGGGAATTACATCAAAATATAATGTGGTTTATTTACATGTTTGTTGAATGGGGTAAACAAACTTATATTATTTACTGTTATTTACATGTGTTCATGAAATGTTTATGCTAATGTTTAAAAAGTAAATAAAGATATATACTACCAAGGTTTTTTGTGTTTTTATCATTTGTGTGATTCTTTTCTCGATATTATCAAACAGCCAGTCCATGATTATGTGTGTTACTTATTTGAGATTTATTTATTGTAAATATTGTTGCTGTTTAAGTGTCTTCATGACCTGAGAATATACATAAATTTTTCATTGTTTTGGCAAGTTGGCCTGCTTTTATTTGACAACAACCTGGGTTTTTCTGTTAAAGATTTGTAGTTTTTGCTGTTGGCAAATGTTCTACTTATTTACTGTGAGATATTGTAAATTGTATCAAATTTTGGACATATTTTATTAAATTATTGCTCAATTAAGTAAAGTTCCCTTACACACCTGGTGGCAGGTGAAGTAGAGTTCACCTATTTCTGTGACCTCTGCATATAAAGGGTTAGTGTGGTCAGCACTATGCCCAGACACCTTTACATTCCCTAATGCAAGTCAAGTAACCTTAAAAGTTGAGTGGACTCCAGGACAAACTTCAACTCTAGTCAGGGACCTGAACACAAGAAATCAGGTGTGCATTCTAACGCTCTACCATTTTATGTCTTCCCATATTGCCCAAAAAACATCTAAAATGTTAATACGGCTGAGTTATAATCAACAAAATCTGTGGCTCTTTGTTGCCTTTGCTTAAGCCAATAGTGATATGGTTATTTTTATTGGAGCTAATAACTGGTCAAACCAACTGAATGTAAGGTGGCATATATTGGATGATGCTGGGGCCTCCAGTGGGGTCTTTAACTATTGGTCCTAGTTCTGTAACAGGGAAATGGAAAGGGGGGGGGGGGGGTAAGTGCAAATTAAGTCCATTCTGGTCGTCCAGATATGCAGTTTGTCAGACAGTCTCACTATCATATCATCATCATGTCAACAAAGTGTGTATCGTATAGGCCTAATAATTTGTGGACTAAGATAAGCTTTATTGTGTGTTATCTCAGTATCAGTAAATACAATTACAATAAACTCAGGGCTTATTTTCAAAGCGTATTACTTTCATACACCCACACAGTAATTGCACATCAGAAAGTACAGAAAACACGCTTAGACTCAAAAGTGACCTGATGAAAGTGACGGGGTATTAATTATATGGGAATAAATATATATATATATATATATAACTATATATATATATATATATATATATATATATATATATATATATATATATATACGAGCCGACCCGCGGCGTCTCGTATGCCGCTATTTAGTTCTTTTATTTTCTACTTTTCAGTAATTAATAATTTTGAACCCGACAGTACCAATGCTGCCACTGAAATTATTTGCTTTAAAACACTATCAGTAGGTCGTTAAGGACGATAACCCCCCCCCCACCCTACAATCCCCCCCCCCCCCACCCTACAATCCCCTCCCCCCCCCCGTGAAAGCAAGCCTCCTCTTAGTTACCTCCCCTAAGTTTAAAATCATTTCAAACTAAATTATCTGCCCCTGATAGCCGTCAGTAAACTCGGCTATACAGGGATTGTAAACATTTGGCGTGAACCACAGCTCACCAGATCATGTGGGGGTGGGGGTGGTAGGGGATATGCCTAGAGAGGAAGAGAGGGGGCTGCTAGGCGCGCTTACAGCTTGGTGTTTTCTATGGTCTCCATGAAGAGAATTATATATATATAAGAATATACATAACATGGTTGTAGTTGCCATAATATAGTTTTTTTGTATGCTAGCATTCTGAGATTAGTATTAACTCATTAACAACATTGTTTTTTTTTTACACACAGGTTATGGCCCACCAAAGTTTAAATTTAATTTATTATTCTAGTTCTACCGCCACATATTCTACTTTGCGTAGCCTAGCCTACATATTACTATAGTACATAGTACATAGATCTAGATCTAGTATTAGTACATGGGCAGGGGCTACATTTACAATCAGAAGTCGAAATGGTGAAATAAATGTACTGCGATGAAAAAAAAGCACAATTTGTTGTTTTTCTTTTTTTTTTTTAAACAACTAAGGCCTAATCTAATTTATTATTTCAATTCTAACATGGGCCATAGGACTGTACATAGGCCAGTGGCGGAACTAGAAAAAAAGGGCCACCCCGCAAAAAAAAATTCTGGGCCCCCCTATTTATATATATATATATATATATATATATATATATATATATATATATATATATATATATATATATATATATATATATGTATTATAAATATATATATGTATATATATATATTATATATATATGTATATATATATATATATATATATATATATATATATATATATACATATACATATACAAACACAGAATACAAACATTGGATACTCATTTCTGGCCTAATCGTGTTTTTAAAAAAAATGTTTTGTTTTTCAATTGAAACAAATTACAACTTGTCAGGTTTGTGAGTGGGCGCACTCGTCTGTTTTAACTTTTTGTTTTTAGATTTAGAACTAGTTTATTTCTTGTTTGTTCTAAACAGCTTACCATCTAGACTTTGACGGTCAAAAGAATATAAAACGTGAAAGCTTTGTATGCGTAATGGTTTCTCGTGTTATGTTTATTTTAAAGTTTTTTTGTATTTATATTATTTGTTTTAAATATATTTCCTTTTAGTTCTATGTTATTCTTTAGTATATAATTTTAAAAAATATAATAATTAAGAGTAGTAATTGCTTTTTAATTTGTTTAGAACAAATATATTAAAAGAAGCTTATGAGCACACCTATTTAACTATTTAAAAAAGGGAAATAAGTCATGGAAGTGTTTTGAACGTTTGCTCAGGCATATATTTTTTTACGCAACAGCATAATAATATGTTATCTACAATATAACATCACGACAAAAGTAGATCTGTTTGTTTTTCACAAAAGCTTTTACTGTCAATTCAAAAATGCAAGAAAATAGTGTTTTTTTTAACTATAAAATTTTTATTATGGTCGGCTATGGGCCCCTAAATGACGTGGGCCCCCCCCCCGCATTGCGGGGTCTGGCGGCACTGTAGTTCCGCCCCTGACATAGGCCTACTATACAAATCAGCTGGTATCAGAAATTTCCCCTTTCACCCAACCCTAACAATGAACAACTAACAAATAAAGACTCATCATAAAGTCATATGATCAAAATCACATGACTCGTTACAAAATGGCGTCGCTCGCAAACTACTTGTTTATTATATTCTAAAATTTTTATTGATGACATTTTACACGTTTAGTTTAGGTGGATGATTAAAAATTAGAGTTACGAAAAATAGATCTATCTCTTCATCCAAGTTCGTCGTTATTCAGTCAATTTTAATTTTTATTAATGTTATAATGATCATTGATCATTTTAAAATTAAAATTATGTGAATTCTAAGAAGAACAATCATGAATATTTTGAGGTGGCAGTTCAACTACCGTTATTCAGCAATTCCATTTGGATTTTGTAAGTTGTTTTACAATATTTTACATATGGGATAGATAGATTATTAGGGGGAATTTCTATAGCGGTGTCAGATAATGGAATCTTCTTTAAAAAGGGGTGTTAGGTTACTGGTAGTTATTAGGTTATTAGTAAATTAGTTAACTAGGCCTAAATATAATTTTAATATTAAATATTAGGCCTACTAAATAAATTCTATTAAATAATAAATACACAAATGACTCAAATGACTGGCTAATGTCAATCGCTAACCCTATCCCTAACCCCAACCCTGGTCCTACCATACGCCTAACCTGAATTTCTAACCATAAAATTAGTCGAGATTACAATACTACTATTAGTACTATACTAACAACCCAACACACCTATTTTGTGGAAGAGTGTATTATTGGACTTCGGTATCTAAAATCATCCGATTATTAGATTAGATCTCTGCTACTTTACTTTTTGCATTTATTTACTTATATTTTACTAAATTAATGTCTTATACTAATGTCTTAGCTAATGTCTTATACACGAATAGACTTATAGTTATAGACCTATAAAATATTATTTGGATGATATTTCGAGTCGTCCCTTTGAATCCCGGTCAGAACGTCCCACCGGCTTGGCCTCAACCAACCGGTGGGCTTGTTGCATTGAGTTAATTAAATATAAACTCCAAACAATTATATAAAAATTCACCTCTGTCAAAGCTTTCCACTCTCCATGGTCTCCTGACACTCTTTTCAGTTGTTTCCTATTCACTATTCCCTGCTAACCTTTCAGCTGTTTCCTATTCACTATTCCCTCCTATCCTTTCAGTTGTTTCCTATTCACTATTCCCTGCTATCCTTTCAGCTGTTTCCTATTCACTATTCCCTGCTATCCTTTCAGCCTCCTCCAGCAGTCCCTGCCATGTCTTCCTGGGTCAACCAGCCCCTGCAATTCTTGCTCTAAGGTGGGGGGGGGGGGGAGGGGTTCAGCTCCAGTGATAAAACCTTAAAGCCAATAGGGAAGGCTTATTCTCTCTCCAATAAAGTCTTAATAATTAATCCTCATGAAAATAGGTATATTAAGTTCTTAGGTCTTATACTTATTGATATTGTAGACTAATATTATCAGGCTTAGAATACAGCTCACGTATGATTTGTGTTTGTGTGTGGGTTGAGGATAGGGTTTAAAAGAAGATTTCATTAATTTGGCATTTACGGACAATAAAATGAAACATACATACCCAAATAGTCATTTCTTAAAGAATGGCCCAAGCATCTCTGGAAACAGTTTTCTACTGACCATCTAAATAAAGAAATAATATTGTGCTGGGACAGCTGTATGCTCTCTTAAAATATTATTATTAAAAATGTCAAATTCTCTGATCATGTACAGCTGAATTATTTATTTGGCAATTACATTTTTGTTGTATGTTCAACGTTATTTAATTTACCATGTAAAGGTATATAGTAACCCTATAGTAAATAAGTTAAAGATAGTTTATATAGATTAATGACTCTGATTTTTGTGTAAGGCTTAACGTCCCATTTTAATATGAAGTGCAGTTAGGAATTACTTTAAAATATATATCTCATAAAATATATGTTATTGTATTTTAATACATTTTTTCCCACTGTAGGTAGTTGGATATCATTTATAGCCATTTTCACTGTGACTGTAGCCAATACAAGCTGGAACAACAGCACAACTTCCCCATGGATTCCAGTCCTCAACTGCAGTGGAACTTATTTTAATTCTTGTCATGTCTGTGGTCCAGGCTCATTTGCAAACATAAGTAAATATGCATGAATTTCCAACTATTGTAAAATACAAATAATATTTTAATGATTATTACCTAAGAATGGTTGGCTGATTTACTGTTGTAGAGCTCCTCTTTGTTTCTGCCTTTTAAAGCGGTTACAATTTTTTACCACCAGCTTCCTTAACTGTAAAATCTCTTAAAACAATTGAAGAAAAAAAGGTTCAGAGAACTCAATTTTGCATGAGACTGTTGTTAAAAATTCCATAGTGATTTTTAGTTTAGATACTATAAAGCTTGTTAAGTGTATATTTTTTTTTTTCTATTTCAGGTACACCACAATGTGGGTGCTGCATAAATAATACAAATAAAACTGATTATTCTGCCTCTTGCTTAAATACAACATTTTGCACTAACTGTGATGCTGGGAAATATCAGCCTTACTCTGGCAAAAATCACTGTGATTTTTGTCCTGCTGGAACCTCAACAAAGTAAGTTTCAGTAATGAGATTGGTGGTGTGACAACTTAATGTATTTCAGTAATGAGATTGGTGTTGTCTGACTTTATTTCAGTAATGTGATTGGATCTCAAAACTGTACAGAGTGTGAACCAGGATATTTTTCTAGCCAGAATGGTTCAGCTAATTGCACTGAATGTGGTCTAGGTGAGTTAATTGCTTTATTCACACCTGAAGATAATGGCAATAAAATTGAACTTGTTGACCTTTTGGCTAAAATATCACCCAGTTTAACCCTTAAAAATATTCATCTAGTTTAACCCTTAAAAATATTCATCTAGTTTAACCCTTAGAAATATTCATCTAGTTTAACCCTTAGAAATATTCATCCAGTTCAACCCTTAAAAATATTCATGTAGTTTAACCATTAGAAAATATTTATCCAGTTTAACCCTTAGAAATATTTATCCACTTAAATGATGCTCAGTTTGTCTGGATTACAATTTTTCCTAAGCAGACTGTGGAGAAATACACATATTGAGGTTGTTTATATAGTCACACATTTAAATAAATATTTTTTCAACCTACAGGCCAGCATCAGCCACAAGAAGGCAAATCAGAGTGTCTACCATGTGGACAAGGTTTCTATAGTAATCTAACAGCACAAGTCAACTGCTCTCAATGTACAGCTGGATTTTTTTGCAAGTCAGTTGACATTTTGTTTGTGTCGTGAGTTGGCTTGTAGGAGTATCTAAATGCTGTAATAATTCTGAAACTCCCTTACATGCATATTGAAGTCAGACACTAAAGCCAGTCCTAGTCATTAGAAGCAGCACTTTTACCTTGATACAGTTTACAGAGCACTTCAGATGTTGAAACATTTCATCATTCAAATTTAGGAACATTTCATCATTCATATTTAGAAATATTTCATCATTCAAAGCCAGAAACATTTCATCATTCAAAGCCAGAAACATTTCAACATTCAAATTTAGGAACATTTCAACATTCATATTTAGAAACATTTCAACATTCAAAGCCAGAAACATTTCAACATTCATATTTAGAAACATTTCAACATTCAAATTTAGAAACATTTCAACTGTCAAATGTAAAAACGTTTCACCATTGAAATGTAATATATTTTACTATTCAAAATTTAAAATGACTGTAAATATTAAAAAACTGCAATGTATTTGTATAATGTATATATAGCATCTTATCTTTATTTCTGCTAGCCAAAGCATGTGTACAGATTGCTCTCCCTGCCCAGTAGGACAGTATACCAACACAAATCAAACAGTCAACTGTACCTTTTGTTGGGAAGGTGAGGGGGTCTCTTTTTTAAACACTGGTGTATAGGGAAGTGGATTATACTGACTTTTTAAATGATTTTATTTAAAACACTGGTGTATAGGGAAGTGGATTATATTGTATAAATTATTTTATTTGAAACACAGGTGCATAGGGAAGTTGATTATACTGACTTTTTGAATTATTTTATTTTAAACACAGATTTATAGGGAAGTGGTTCATACTAACTTTTAAAATTATTTTATAAAAAAAAGTACTAATAAACCTCATTTATAAAATTCAAAGTACATGCAGTTATGAAATTATTACCTGTATTGAATAAAATAATTTTTTATTTAAAACTTTTGTTGACAGGCTCCCATCAACCAATACCTGGCCAAACAAGCTGTGAGCCTTGTCCTGCTGGTCAAGAGGCCAGGTAAGTTTTTTCCAATATGGTTTTAAATTTTACTAGACTACCCGTTATCCTTGGATAACTGGGTTTTGGGGGTCATCCATACATAACATCATGTTTGTTTGACGATTTTTATCTTTCCCCTCCACTCCCCATTGTCACACATCTTCACAAAAAGCCAGACCCCACATTTAAAAAGATGTCACACCTCAGACAATATGTTTATCTTCTAAAAACACCCATTTCGTCTAAGCATGTGTCTGACCAGCCTATCCCTTCATATTTTGAGGTCACAGAAAAAGATGAACTCTACTTCACCTGCCCCATGTCCCGTCAAGTCCCAATAGGCAACTTTATCATTCACATCTAAAAAGAAGTCCCACCTCAACTTACATGTTTTAAAAACATCGATTTCTTTCTATATTTTCTGAGCACAAACCTCATTTGAATAATAAATTAATAAATCGTTAAAACTAATGTCAAACTAATAATAATGAATTAGAACCAATTGCATGTGGTGCATTGCTCTGTGCATTTAGTTTTATGATACATAAACTTTTAAATGGGCAACAAGGTCTTCCATGGAAGCCGCCATGTTTGTTGTTAAAAAAAGTAAATAAATCAAGTGACGTCACTAGGCTGGTGAAAGTTTTTAATTTTTGTGTGAAAATAAAGTATTTGTTCTGAACTTTCTAATTAAAGGGGGGTTTCTACAAATGAATATATCAATTAATTAATGATCTTTGTTAAATAAGTTTGTGAATAGCATTTTGGGGAAAAAGAGCTATTATTCTCAACATAAAAATGTATTTTACAGTTCCACACATAGTGCTGATGCTCTCATCTAATGGAGCAGACAGACAAACAAACAAAAATATATAAACTTGTAAACAGCTTGAATTTTAGTAGTGTATAGATAGATAGATAGATAGCATAAACTAATTATGAACCATTAAAATAGTATTAAAAAAAACACTATCATAGGTTAAATTATATCTTATTTTTTGATAGTTATTATACTCAAATCTATATATAATTAAAATTTGAAGATAGGAGTCAGATTTCATTTATAAATTGAATGCATGTAATAAAAAAGATAACACTAGTAACACATACTTGTGATAAAGAAGATTAGACTGATACTTTATCATAGCTGTTATCTTTTTATTGTAGTAACTAACTTTTGTAAAAGAGTTTATATAATGTAAAATATGTTTAAAATATTGCTCCAAATTGTAAAAAACATTTTTTCCCCTCCTAAAATAGTTTTTGATGTAGCATTGAAAGTTTATAGTTTTCCCAACTAAACTAGTTTTTGGTGTTACCCTGAACTAGTATTTGATGTGACCTGAACATATTCCCACTTGAACTCGTTTTTGATGGAAATGTTTTTGATGTGACCCTACAGGTTTAAGGGAGCTGAGAACTGTACTGCGTGTCAAGCTGGAACATTCAAGAATGAGAGCAGCTTTAGTGAGTGTCAGCAGTGTGCTAAAGGTTGGTCACACCCACTTTGTTCTACTCTGTTGTAATTATGGGATATCTGTATCACTGTACACTATCTCTATATATTCAGAGGTCACAGAAACAGATGAACTCATCCTCACTAGTCACCTCAGATTCTGAAAGAAATACGTCCACCTTATGTGTTTCTTATCAACTTTTTCATTTATTTATAATTAATTATGAAAAGTTGAGTGTAAGTGGTAGTAAAAATAGCTGCTAATCTAGAAGTCTTGAGTTCAGTTCATCAGGTCCCTGAGTCTACCCAGCACTTCTGTGTCCGTTGCTTAAGTCTGGGAAGTGAAGTAGTTTGATATCAATATCATCCTGGTCACCCAATCCCTTTTTATTTGTGTGTCAACAAACAACCAGTGAACTCTGGTTGACCAGGTCTGAGAGTGTACATGAAATGAGTAACTGTAAATGATGTATAACTCTGGCTGACCAGTCTGATGTGTACTTGACTAAGCCCCAGTAAATGATGTATAACTCTGGCTGACCAGATTTGACAGTGTACTTGACTAAGCCCCAGTAAATGATGTATAATTCTGGCTTACCAGTCTGATGTGTACTTGACTAAGCTACAGTAAATGATGTTTGTGTTTAGGTTCACACCAAGCTGAGACTGGTCAAGAAACTTGTGACCCATGTCCAGCAGGCTTTGAGGCAAGGTGAGCACCTTTTTATTTTACACACACACACATTTTATTTTATCATGTTTTAAATTAATCAACTTTTATTTACTAGATATTCACATGTTTAAAAAATTATAGAGTTGAAATGAACATTGTTTTATAGCTGGTTATAAAAGTTGAATCATTGTCATGTTATTGTCTACAGGCTAGAGGGTGCCATGAACTGCACACCCTGTTTTCCTGGTACATTTAAAAATGAGAGCAGCTTTGATCTTTGTTTTGAATGTCCAGCTGGTTAGTTACATATTTCCACCTTCTCTTGTTTTGATCTGAAAAATAAATTGTTTCTCTTCACTTTTACTTACAAAACTATAAGACACTAAACAATAGTAAAACAAATATTTCATGTTTTTAATATTTTTATTGCCTGATGTTTTTTCACTAAAATATTGTAAAGACATATTGAAGGAGATTTGTGTAATATTTCAATGTATCTCAGGCACTAACACAAGCTATACAAACAGTACAGCAATATTTCAATGTATCTCAGGCACTAACACAAGCTATACAAACAGTACAGTAATATTTCAATGTATCTCAGGCACTAACACAAGCTATACAAACAGTACAGCAATATTTCAATGTATCTCAGGCACTAACACAAGCTATGCAAACAGTACAGCAATATTTCAATGTATCTCAGGCACTAACACAAGCTATACAAACAGTACAGCAATATTTCAATGTATCTCAGGCACTAACACAAGCTATACAAACAGTACAGTAATATTTCAATGTATCTCAGGCACTAACACAAGCTATACAAACAGTACAGTAATATTTCAATGTATCTCAGGCACTAACACAAGCTATACAAACAGTACAGTAATATTTCAATGTATCTCAGGCACTAACACAAGCTATACAAACAGTACAGTAATATTTCAATGTATCTCAGGCACTAACACAAGCTATACAAACAGTACAGTAATATTTCAATGTATCTCAGGCACTAACACAAGCTATACAAACAGTACAGTAATATTTCAATGTATCTCAGGCACTAACACAAGCTATACAAACAGTACAGCAATATTTCAATGTATCTCAGGCACTAACACAAGCTATACAAACAGTACAGTAATATTTCAATGTATCTCAGGCACTAACACAAGCTATACAAACAGTACAGTAATATTTCAATGTATCTCAGGCACTAACACAAGCTATACAAACAGTACAGTAATATTTCAATGTATCTCAGGCACTAACACAAGCTATACAAACAGTACGGAGTGTTCTCCCTGTGTAGAAGGTTATTTCCAGAATCTGAGTGGCCAGGTGTATTGTTCACCCTGTTTTAAAGGGACATATTGTAGGTGAGACTTTTAAAAAATATCTACAACTGATGTTCATTTTTATTCGTGAGGTAAACAATAGAAATTTTAATTTCAATTCAGAGTTTCTATAGGCCTAAATCAAAAGATTAAATGTCAATTTCTATTATAATATTATAATTTTTTTAAAAGTTGTAAACAATTTTTTTTTTGCATGATTTCTGTTGTAAGAATTTTTTTTCTGAATAATATCTGTTGTAAAAAATCTTATTTTCTGCATTTCTGTTGTTAAAAAAAAAGTTTGCTACATGTAAAATATGTTTTTTTTTTCTATTTTCAGCACTCAAGGCTGCACAAGATGTGAGGCTTGTGGCAAGGGGAGAGAAGCCAGAACTCAAGCGGCTAAAAACTGCACCCTGTGTAGACCAGGTCAGTTCACCTTACACCTTGGCTCCCAGTAGATGGTGGGCTGTCTATTTGTTTTGTTACAGTTAGTTCTTTTAAAAATACTCTAAAAACACCATCCTTTGCTCTTTTTTTGTCTTTTTAAAATTTAAATTGTTCCAATACATTTCAAAATATTTCCTGCATACTTGAATTATTCCTACAACTAGACAATTTAAAAAAAAATGTGTAAGTGACTAGAAGGTATTAATTAAAGTGCTGTGTGTAGTTACCCTTACTTTTCCTTGGTCTTCAGAACAGGGTTTATCTTTAAGTAAAATTAACTTGTTTATATGTAGCCATTATCAAGTACTCAAATGCTCTGAAATTATCCCAACAAACATTAATAAATATTTGAAACCTTTTATCGAAAATGTAGCCTACCAAGTGTTAGTTTTATAGTTTGGTTTATTTTCTATTCTAAAAAATGTGTAACTGATTAAATCATCTTTTAAAATGTGAATGAACATTTGTGATTCATGTGACTGCTTGTGGTCATCCATTCAGGATACTTTAAAGCAGCAGATGATGCAACACTGTGTAGAAAATGTGAGTCTGGATGGTTCACAACAACTGAAGGATCTCCAGCATGTACAGAGTGTCCTGATGGCTATTACTGTCCTGTAAGTCAGGGCCACATCTTACAAGTACAAGATAACTCATTAAATAAACAGCCTAATTACTGGTTAATTACCCTAATGACATAAGCTTTTTTAAATTGATAATGTAGCAAGCAGACAATGACCCATACAAATGCCCTGAAGCCAGCTATTGAATTAGTGACATGTTTTATTGATAATGTAGCAAGAAGACCATCACCCATACAAATGCCCTGAGGCCAGCTATTGCCCAAATGACATAATTTTTTTTTTATTGATAATGTAGCAAGCAGACCATGACCCATACAATTGCCCTGAAGCCAGCTACTGCCCTAATGACATAAGTTTTTTTGTTGATAATGTAGCAAGAAGACCATCACCCATACAAATGCCCTGAGGCCAGCTATTGCCCAAATGACATAATTTTTTTTTTATTGATAATGTAGCAAGCAGACCATGACCCATACAAATGCCCTGAAGCCAGCTACTGCCCCAAAGGGTCAGTGTCCCCTAGGTGGTGCTCAACTCCGTTCTTCAGGAAAAACTCTCAGTCAACTGGATGTGAAATTACAGATGCCTTTATTGGAGTTGTCAGTGGCGCTAGTATAGGTGAGTACATCTCACAGTTTTAATCTTAATGTTTGTTACTAAATCCTTGAATCTAATTTTTCCATTTTCTCAAATGTGCCCCTGCAGGACTGAGTCCTTTAACACCTGTGGTTACATTTCTCATTCACTCTTTTTGGAGCTGATTTCAATGATGAAACTATTAGAAATGGGATCAATGTTATGTATATTATGAAAGATGTACTATTGACTACAAAACATGATACGATGAAATTTTAAATTTACTAACTGTATATTAGTTTGGCCCTTTGAAAAGACAACTTAAATACTTTTAAGTTAAGATAAAAATATTTTCATCATTTCAAAAAATACTTATGTTACACATGTATGCACAGTCATAACTAGTTGAAAATAATAATTTCCTAAATCAATGGCCTACAGCCCCTCATAGCTTTGTCTTGAGCTCAGAATAAGTTAAAGTACTTTATGTAGGGTCACATATTTGTTTTTTGCATTTTAAATTCATACTAGCAGTAGATATTAAATAATGTAAAGGACATTAAGAAATAGTAAAAAACAAACACAATTGTTTTTTTCTTTAGTGTTTTGCCTGCTGTTGGCTTTTGGAATTTACAAGAGCAGGAGGTGCTACAGGAAGAGAAGTGTAACCATTAGACTGGAGAACAATGAGCATCAGCCTCTGGCAGCCAGTGATGAGAGTTCCCCACCTGTTTACACTGGCTTATGAGAAGTGACATGAACTTTCACCTTTACTGGTGAGTGCTGACTCAAGGAAGGTTGACTTTTGTACTGGTATGTCGTAGTACAAGTAAGGTGTACTTTTGTACTAGATGTAGTAAGTGGTAATATGTGAACTTTATACTGGTAAGTGTTGATACAAGGAAGTTTTACCTTTGGCATTGCTGGAAGATATGACCATTGGTACTATTGGGATACTCATTTTTCTAAACTTGTGTTTTCACTGTTGCTTTCCTAATGAATTTTTGACAAATATTTATAGAATTAAGATAATTTGGAAATATGTTCTTTGTCATCGTCCTCCTATTAAAAAATGTTTCTACAAATTTCAGATGCCCACGTCTCATTTCCCACTTGCTCCTTATAAAAAGCTTTAACTTTCATCTGTAGTTTCAACCCATTAAAAGTGCTCTTAGAGAACACAGTTCACTCCCTTGACTGCGTGTGTTTCATGAGTTGCTGCATCATTCCATTGTTTACAAAAGATCTGTAGCTTAGGACATTATCTTTTCAAATGTCACAATTGATGCTAATTACAGAGTAAAATTAGTTGTTGCCATATTCACCCTTTTTATTATTGACACATTTTTTGTAAATATTTTGAGTTCAAATTACAATGCAATAAGTTTTGATATTAAATTGCCATTGTGTAACAATGTTCTCCATTGCCATCATTTACTTCAGTTATTTAATAAGTTGATTGGTTCTGGTGCAATGGGTGACAATTCTGTGTTTGGTATGTAACTAGAATAAATTATATATTTTCCTTTTTTAATAATGAAAATGTAGGCCTACAAGGCCTATGGAAATTAAAAAAAATATTTAAATACATTTTAGTCTTATATTTCATTAAATATTTTTGCTGCTTTACTTTAAAAGTTGATTTAACTACTTGTCTTTCACATATATATGATTCTAGGTATCTATTAAACCTTTTTGTAGTTTTCTGTTATTAATTTGGTTAGTGATTTCTTTAATTTCATTGACATTGTCTGAAAGTTGCAAATCCTATTTTATCAGGCTTTTAAAAAAATGTTGAATAACTTGTATGATTGAAAAAATCTCCTAAAATGTGCCATGTTTACTATGAAACCTTGGAGCTAGTGATATTATGTTACAAATATTTGCCAGTTGAGAGAAAACATGTTTGAATATATTGAAGAGTTCAAAATGAGTAGTGTTACTGTTAATAGGGTAAAAATGAGACAAAGTTTTAACATCAATCTGTAGCTTTATTTTTGTCATTCAAATTTGAAAATGATTAAAATTTAAACTTATCATCTTGACTTGTTTTGCAATTATTTTACATTTTAAAGATTTTTCGGACAATCATGCAATTCTCATGTATAAGAGAAATTTGCACACATACAAAAGGCTACATATTTCTAAGATCCTGTGAAACATGAGAAAGTTAATTAAATCTATCCTATATATTAAAAGAGCCAATGTGATTAATTTTCATGTTTTATTTTCATAACAAATTCTAACTTTTCTAACAATGACCAACTTTAGCTTGTTAGTATTTTCTTTACTAAGGCAATTCCAAGTTGTTTAGTACAAATAATTTATCTAAAATATTTAAAAGGTCGTTGCCAAAAATGCATTAAAATTGAATTAAACAGAAAAATTGTCCCTTCCCCCTCCCAGATTTAGTTAGGGTACAGTAATTAAAATAAAAAAAGGTTATCATTTGAAACCTTATATAATTAATAGTTCAATTACCAATTGAATTATCATTCAATAACCAAACATAAAAAATCCAAACTAAAGGCAAAAAAATACATAGCTGGATTTTTGTTACAAAGAAAAGATCAGGTTAGATCACTTCCAGGAATGGTAACCACTTTGTGGTCGATTGTACAAAAACAAAATTCCTGACAAATGTAAACTAACATTGGCTAGCAGCTACTAGCTTTACAAATCAAGATTAGTAACAAGTGGATGACAATAAATAAGCAACTAATATAATAAATACATTTAAACATATGTAGATGCTGTACAGAGAGGGGACACAACTAACAGTATTGTAGACAACGCCCCTTTTTCAAACAAATTGTTTTTATATGAGCAAAAAATATATTTTTTAAAATTTTGCACACAATATCTGCCCATGCTTCTTTGCAAATGACATTTTAAACTGATTTTACAAAAATTATGCCGAAATAAAAATATAACCCATTTCCAACTGAAACAAGGCACAATAATTAACATGAGTTTTGTAACTTTGTGTCAATCTAAAAGTATGGCAGCCTGCTCTGGGTACTGGAATACTTGTGGTGAAATCTTAATGACCTTAACTGATGTCCTTTATCAGATGAACAAAATGCCTGAGAGATCATAGCTCATGACCAGACAGAAATAAAACACAACCAACTTCAGAATCAAATTTCTTCTTGGAGTGCATAGGAAGAAAAATTAGAATTAAAAAAATAGTCCAAGTAAAGAAAATCTTAAAAGTTGCACAACAAAAAAATCTTATTGCTTGAGAAATGTGACCATAGTCAACTAGCACTTCTCTCAACCAGACTCAAGTCATTTACACCAGATTCATACCATTTCTAAGTGCACATCATCATCTGTAAAATTGACAAACAAGCACGAGTAAAATACTATGCTGGTTTGGAACACACAAATTTAGTCAAAGTTCTTAATCAACACCCCTCCCCCCCCATGACTTAAGATCAGAAGTTCCAAATGTGATAAATCCATTGCAACTTAATTAAAGAGCTAGTAAAATTTAAAAATCCAGTTATTAAAAAATAAAAAAGATGTCAAATTCAGATTAGTTAACAGTACTTAATATCTGAGATTTGTGCAGTATTTTAAGTACACTTTTTCTATTATGTAAAACAAAATGTTTTGTTCTTGTTGAATAAATCAAATGATAAAGGCTGCCCCTTTTTAATTGCATGCTACAACATAAATAAAATAAAGTAACAGATGATCTCTAGAACAATTCTCTAACATGGGCTATGACTGGGATGATGCTCCTCCCCTAATCTGACTAGCTTCCCCCATCAAGGTGTGCAACATCTGGGTCAACTGGTCATTGCCTAAGTCACTCACTAGGTTCTCATTGTTGCTCTCAGGTTCTGTAACAAACACAAACCAAATGTAATTAGACAGTCTAAAGCTAGATCAGGAGTCAATTAGAACTTAAACCAAATGTAACTAGACAGTCTAAAGCTAGATCAGGAGTCAATTAGAACTTAAACCAAATGTAACTAGACAGTCTAAAGCTAGATCAGGAGTCAATTAGAACTTAAACCAAATGTAACTAGACAGTCTAAAGCTAGATCAGGAGTCAATTAGAACTTAAACCAAATGTAACTAGACAGTCTAAAGCTAGATCAGGAGTCAATTAGAACTTAAACCAAATGTAACTAGACAGTCTAAAGCTAGATCAGGAGTCAATTAGAACTTAAACCAAATGTAATTAGACAGTGTAAAGCTAGATCAAGAGTAAATTAGAACTTAAACCAAATGTAACTAGACAGTCTAAAGCTAGATCAAGAGTAAATTAGAACTTAAACCAAATGTAACCAGACAGTCTAAAGCTAGATCAGGAGTCAATTAGAACTTAAACCAAATGTAACTAGACAGCCTAAAGCTAGATCAGGAGTCAATTAGAACTTAAACCAAATGTAACGACAGTTGAAGACAAAGAGTAAAATTAGAACCTAGGTTAAGTACATACAATTTTACCTATAAGGGGTGTTTCTTCATACAAGGAACTTTTTCTAACAAACAGAGGTATTTTACGCCTGGTTGGAACTTTGAGGTCCATCTGTTCATCACATGCATGTTTCCACAGTGCTGTCAGACAGAGGAGAACAAACACTTGTCAAAAGAAAATTTACTGGCTTTAAATAGTTAACAAACATATTTTAAAACAAAAAATGGGAATACATTTCTTGAAATCTAATGAAATTTTGAAATGTGTATCACAGAAAACTATGCTGATACCTTGATCTAATAAATGCTGTTGAAATCCTTCCCACCACTTGTTCAACTCATCTTTGGTGTCTGCTGCAAGTGTGTGACAGAAGATTCCATTGATGTTGACTGTCTTGATAAGGAATGAGTGAGGTTTTTTGCTGGTACTAGGATCTGCATCACTGATTTGGGTGCTCTGTGGAAAACATGTTGGGTCAAAATAAAACAAGCCACTATATCTGGCAAGGCTGAAATGGCTGGGTGCATACAATAAAACAAGCCACTATATCTGGCAAGGTTGTAATGGCTGGGTGCATAAAATAAAACAAGCCCCTATATCTGGCAAGCCTGAAATGGCTGGGTGCATAAAATAAAACAAGCCACTATATATGGCAAGGTTGAAATGGCTGGGTGCATACAAGAAAACAAGCCACTATATATGGCAAGGTTGAAATGGCTGGGTGCATACAATAAAACAAGCCACTATATATGGCAAGGTTGAAATGGCTGGGTCCATACAATAAAATGTCATTATTGTGAACATGTCTGGCTAGGCTGAAATGGCTGGGTCCATACAATAAAATGTCATTATTGTGAACATATCTGGCTAGGCTATGTTACCATAAATCTTTATCCACTGCCTGGTTTACAAACTGTCCATTCTTACCTTAGTAACAGGAATAGTGAGTAAAGGCTGTATGACTTCAACATCATCAGGACTAGACCAACATGCCAACTGGAGGTTTTTGAGAGAACACCAGTATCTTTTCCATTTAGATAAGTCATCATCTTCCTTTTATTTAGACAAAATAAAATAATAAATTAATAAATGTTATTTACCTTTATCAAATGTGCTGCTATTAATACATTAAAATGGATTTTATGCTCAGATAAAAAAAACAATGTATGATAAAACATGTATGATAAGAAAGCAGTATGTTTTTAAAAATAAGATACATTTTTCTTTCTTTCAATTCCATAGTAAAAGTATTGTTGCTTAAATTTGTTAGAGATTTCATGAACTAACAATATTTGTTATTGTAGATGTTTTTTATTTTCGACTTTTTAGTATAAATGAATAGTAAAAAAAATATTGTTATCAACCCTTTTGTTATAGAAAATAGTAATAATTAAATTATTCTTATAGGAATAACGTAAAGAAGAATAAATTTAAAGGATGTATTCTTTGATGCCATTGGAAAGTTTGAAAGGAATAGCTCCATTAGAAATGTACCAAAATTGAGTTTTGGCCACAATCCCACACACATAACATACAGGACATTGTGACTTAAGAGAAAGCTCATATAAATGATGATAAATAAACTGCTTGACTATGAATACTGACCTCAAAAAATCTATTTTAAACACTTAAAGAGTATTTACTAATCAAGTTTAGATATATACAATCTGCATTGGTAACAAGAGATGGCAAGTGCAAGTATTGTTATATTTTTACCCAAGCAAACCACTGTGTGATAGATAAAAGAAGCAGATGTCAATGACAGATGGGTACCAACCTGTAGGTTAAGATATCCTGTGACTGTGGGGTGGGTGAGGCAGTGGGGTAGTGCTGCTAACCTACAACAGTAGTGACCAAACAGAGGAAGTTCATGGACTTGACCATCTGGGGAAAAAACATTAGGACAACATCAGGACTGAGTGGAGAGAAAACATTAGGACAACATCAAGACTGAGTGGAGAGAAAACATTAGGACAACATCAAGACTGAGTGGAGAGAAAACATTAGGACAACATCAGGACTGAGTGAAGAGAAAACATTAGGACAACATCAGGACTGAGTGGAGAGAAAACATTAGGACAACATCAGGACTGAGTGGAGAGAAAACATTAGGACAACATCAGGACTGAGTGGAGAGAAAACATTAGGACAACATCAGGACTGAGTGGAGAGAAAACATTAGGACAACATCAAGACTGAGTGGAGAGAAAACATTAGGACAACATCAAGACTGAGTGGAGAGAAAACATTAGGACAACATCAGGACTGAGTGAAGAGAAAACATTAGGACAACATCAGGACTGAGTGGAGAAAAAACATTAGGACAACATCAGGACTGAGTGGAGAGAAAACATTAGGACAACATCAGGACTGAGTGGAGAGAAAACATTAGGACAACATCAGGACTGAGTGGAGAGAAAAGATTAGGACAACATCAAGACTGAGTGGAGAGAAAACATTAGGACAACATCAGGACTGAGTGGAGAGAAAAGATTAGAACATTAGGACTGAGTGGAGTGAAAACACTCAACGATGATACAACTAAACACTGGTCTAAATAAAGACAACTCAAGATCATGATCAGCATACTGGTAGCTAACTAAAGAAGATGATGAGTAGTGGGGTACACGCTAACCTGTGTTAGTTTCCAACTGCAGATCAAAAGTCCTCACTGACTTATCCACATCTGACAGTTGCAGGGATCCTTTGGCAACAAGTTCAAACTTTGGTCCTCTGAGATTACACACACATTTATATTTATATTTAAAAAAAAAAACAACAACAAGAAACCAAAGCTATTTTGTAGGTTTAAAATTTGTACTGTAAAAAGTAGCAAAGAAGACAATAAGCCTATTTGTAGGCAATACTTACAGCACCATATTTCCTATCACATCAGCATCATTCTGTGGACAAAAATATTGTAACATAAATAAACAGTGGGATGTTGACAGCAATGGGAAGGAGGGAATTAAAACTAAGTAAAAATCTAAGTAAATGTCACTAAGACAAAGGTATATAAAACACATGACTCACTAGACCAGACAAAGGTATAAAACACAGGACTCACTAGACCAGACAAGCGTTTGCCCACGCTGCGTCCAACTGAGCCAGAGAGATCATTAATTTTTTTCCTCAGCTTTTTTGGGGTGTTGGCAACAGATAGTTCTTCATGTAACTTATGGCAGTACACCTCAAACTTCATCTCAAAGTCATGTGGTACATCATCACTGCAAGGACACAAACCTTAACATGTGACACATACATTGATCTTTCCCAAACCTTAAAACACAGATTTATAATTTGAAAAAAAAAAAACAAACAAAAAAACCCCAATATTCTTTACTATTTGATAGAACAATTAATAGAAGTAGTGTATAGGTAATTTAGAAAACTAAGTACAATGTTGAATTGTACTTTTTCAGCCTCTACAGAAGAAAGACTTACAATAGAACAACATCCTCAAAAGTGATGTCAGTCATGCTTCTGTCCACATCACTGATCATGGTTGTGTCATAGATTTCTGTCCCAACCTTCAGCATACAAAACACAGCATAGCGGCGATAATCTGGTACACAAAAAAATATTTCAACTGATTCATTTTGTAAATATAATGATTAATACTTCTTATTGCTTGATATCAAAAGATTTGTGTCAATGTTTTAATAATATAAACTAAAAACTGTTGGATAACAAATTAAATGATAGAATCCTAAAATGCTGAATTAAGTTCTAATCTTGCCCCTAAACTAACCAAATACTGTAAAAATTTGAAAAATACTACTCCAAATTAGTGACCCATGAGAGTATTTACACTTGTGCTAGATCTCCTAACAGATGCAGTAGAAACTTGTATATTGAAATGACTATAAATACAAATATGCAGCAGTAAAAAAACAACAGCTTACCTCCTTTGTTCTTGAAGTGGTCTGCATCTCTCCACATTAATGGAATTCTGATATCTATGGAAAAACAATTAAAATTAGATGATTGGCAATGAGAAAAACTTTGTTTAGAAAGACTATCTGTACATTAAGAGACAGTCTTATAACAATGGTACAAGTATCTGAAACACTACAGTGAGACAAATATAAACATTGAACAAGTACCTGAAACACTACAGTGAGACAAATATAAACATTGAACAAGTACCTGAAACACTACAGTGAGACAAATGTAAACATTATACAAGTACCTGAAACACTACAGTGAGACAAATAAAAACATTGAACAAGTACCTGAAACACTACAGTGAGACAAATAAAAACATTGAACAAGTACCTGAAACACTACAGTGAGACAAATAAAAACATTGAACAAGTACCTGAAACACTACAGTGAGACAAATATAAACATTATACAAGTACCTGAAACACTACAGTGAGACAAATGTAAAAAGTAAACAAGTACCTGAAACACTACAGTGAGACAAATAAAAACATTGAACAAGTACCTGAAACACTACAGTGAGACAAATATAAAAAGTAAACAAGTACCTGAAACACTACAGTAAGACAAATATAAACATTGAACAAGTACCCGAAACACTACAGTGAGACAAATGTAAAAAGTAAACAAGTACCTGAAACACAACAGTGAGACAAATGTAAAAAGTAAACAAGTACCTGAAACACAACAGTGAGACAAATAAAAACATTGAACAAGTACCTGAAACACTACAGTGAGACAAATATAAAAAGTAAACAAGTACCTGAAACACTACAGTGAGACAAATATAAACACTGAACAAGTACCTGAAACACTACAGTGAGACAAATGTAAAAAGTAAACAAGTACCTGAAACACAACAGCGAGACAAATGTAAAAAGTAAACAAGTACCTGAAACACTAACTTGAGCACCACAGGGTAGCTGGTTGCCTTCTATAGAGCTAAAACAACAAATGTATAAATGTTATTTAATGATAACTGTCACATCATTACTTTATTGCTACTTTTATAAGGCTATTAAACAATCAATACTTTAGTCATGTCATTAATTAATCACCACGTTTGTTGTGGTCTTATAAAATACTATTTCCCTAATGTAGTTAGCTGAGTATTACTAGTATAATGAGAGTAGACATAAAGTCAACCTTTAAACTCTCAGATTGATGCTACTTGACATGAAGTGTAAGAAATGAAAGTAACACTGAAGCTACCTTTGCTTGCCCAGAACCTCAGCAGTTTTCCTCCTCTGCAGTTCTGTCATGTAAGCGATGATGCGAGTATTTGAACACAGCAAGTTTTTGGCAGCCTCCAGAACCTGGGCTGGGTGTTTGCTGGCCACCAGCAGCCTGGCTGTCCCCTCACGCATCTTGATCTCATGGTCAATCTTCTGCTGGAGGTCATGGTCCTGGAATTCAAACGTTCAACCATCAACCAACAGCAAGGTAAAACACAACCAATAGACAGTGAGTAGGTCATCATGTAACATGGATTGGAACTGTTAGACCATCAACCAACAGCAAGGTAAAACACAACCAATAGACAGTGAGTGAACTGTTGGACCATCAACCAACAGCAAGGTAAAACACAACCAATAGACAGTGAGTAGATCATCATGTAACATGGATTGGAACTGTTGGACCATCAACCAACAGCAAGGTAAAACACAACCAATAGACAGTGAGAAGATCATCATGAAACATGGATTGGAACTGTTGGACCATCAACCAATAGCAAGGTCAAACACAACCAATAGACAGTGGGTGAACTGTAGGACCATCAACCAACATCAAGGTAAAACACAACCAATAGACAGTGGGTGAACTGTAGGACCATCAACCAACATCAAGGTAAAACACAACCAATAGACAGTGAGTAGACCATCATGAAACATGGATTGGAACTGTTGGACCGGGACTACTGCCCAAAAGAGTAAATCATTGAGACAACAGAAGCCAGAAAAAAATAATTTAAAAACATGGCAAGTTTCTGATAATACAATGTGGAGAGAGAAAAAAGACACTGAAACAAACCTCATTTAAAGTAAAAAAAAATGATGGTGTTACATGAAAACAAATATTCTCGATGACTCTCAATTCACAGAATTCTAATAGAAAATAAAAGCAAATAACATACACCAAAATATTTTTTTATGATAACTGTAGACTTGAGATGTACAAAAAAATGTATCCTACATGACTCAGTCACTTTACTGTTAAATACTAGGCCATAGATTTTACAGCATCTTTTTTTTAAGCTCTTACAGTAAAAAGGTTTCCTGAGCTAGATAAGGAAAACAAAACAATATCAGCCTGTCATAGGACCAGCTATGTAGTTTTATTTTAGCTCTACACATCATCAGACCAGCAAAACATGGGACAATCTAATACAAACATTAACTGGGGAGGAAGCATAAGGCTAGAGTCTTTAGCAAAACTAGTGTCTTACAAAGAACCATAGTCTAGAAATGGCCCAACGTAGAAAATGTCACAGTATGTGTCAGGCTTGGGGCCAAGAGGTATTGGATACATCATGCCATACATCATGTTTGAGTGAGTGCATTTAATCCTGCACAATCCATGTACAGAAAAACTAAAAGTCTAGTGGGTTAAACTTAAAAATCTTTGTTCCTATAGCTGTAACAACATTTCCTTTAGTGCCACACAAGCACACCCTTGATCTAAGTAGTATAAAGTTTGTTTAGACAACAATGGAGGACGTGATGGGCTGAGAAAACAAGCAGCAGCTGTTTGACAGGGAGCCAGGTTCACCACATTCCTGGCATGTATTGACACAGGAGAATAACTGCATAGATCATTACACATCTAGACTAGAATAAATACATAGACCAGAACACACATTTAGTAACATAAGTAAATACATATTTCTACTAGAATATATGGGTATACCTTGAGTAGAATTGCTATATTTAACTCTATCACACATAAAGTAGAGTAACTCAATACATGTCTAGCATGTATAGACTAATACAAACTTGTAACAACACAGTAAATATATCTAGCAGGTAGAAACTATGATAAGTAACATGCTGAGCTTTGAACACAGTTATCCTATCTTTTGTGACAGTGGTAATACTTTTGTATACAATTCACCCAACTAAACCTGATCTACCTTGCATGTGTAATAGGGAGGGTAGAGTCGAGAAGATCACACCAAGCTAAGAATACAAGAAAAATAAAGCAAGTCAAACGACTCCATATTGACAGACACATCCCAGCCTAGCTAAGAGCTACTGGTGTTTACCGTGAGCTGCACGCACGGAACTGTAAGTAAAGGCGCAGAAGGTGAGTAAATAAATCTTACCGATATGAGGTGTATGGGCGAGATTCCAGGCGGCAGCTCGCTCGGTAAACTGACGTAACGTCTGCGTCTGGTCACACCCGGCCTTTGGTCACTCATCCTGTCTAACGGTCAGACTATCATGTACTCACTGCACGGGCTAAACCAGCAGGCAGCAGACGGTGTGGGAAGGAGGACAAGTGCCGGGCGAGGGCCTTGAAACTCGGCTAATGAGAAACTTGAACAAGTGACGTCTGCCGGGGGAGGGTGAGTACCGCTTGACGGTAAGAAAAAAAAAACAACGCGAAGGTTTACGGCAGAGTTCAGTCCCCGGTGTTGCTAAGTCACAACATCACAGACAGACGGCGCCAAAAACTGGCGTGACGTCAACTGGACATACTTGTAACACCTGTTAGCGCCACGTACACACAATGGTGTACATGATATCTGCTAATGTACAACCTACAGAATGTACACAGTTATCCCACGGGCAGGCTGATTAGAAGATAAAAAGATAATCTATCAATGAGAATGAAGAATAAAAGAATCGACTTGTTTACATGGCCGCCCCCATGGCCATCTAGCCACGCCTCCAATACTTGACTGCGGCGCTACTGTACACGGTAGAAATAGATGGTCATCTCTCGTCTCGTCAATACAATATAAACGTTGGTTCTCTCTATTTCAATCAATAGATGGTCATCTCTCGTCTCGTCAATACAATATAAACGTTGGTTCTCTCTATTTCAATCAAATAAAATGCTGGTCAACCGAAAACTGTCTTTTAGTAGACACATGTGTCTAAAATCTTAGATGATGGTTATATGCAGTTTGGTTTTATAAAAAAAAAATGAAAGGTCATTAAAATTAAAACCATGGCCAGTGAACAAAAAAAAAAGATGGTCAATCCCACAGAAGAAATCGGTGTAGGCTATTTGAAAATGGTCAAACACCAATAATTTAACTCATCGATTGTCAACACAATTAAAAAAAACCACAAGCCAACGCTAGCCAATCCAACACAAGAACCGAATGGTCCACTGAAATCTAGCCGTCCTGTCAGAAAGCGAGCACCCACAAGTTGAGTAAGAAAGTCATGCAGTGAATCGTGGTCTGGTCTAGTCTTACGGAGTAGCCAAAAGGGCCAGCATAGATGACACACAGTAGAGTGCAACAATCAGACACATGGAAGAAACGGCCCACATGCAAGGGAGAGTATAAGAATGTACAAGGCCCTTTCACATTAGCACGGACGATCATACAGCTTGACTTGTCGCCCTTGGCAGTATTCATTCAATCAAAAGCTCGTTACAGGGACGGGCCTGTTTTCTCGTTAATTAGTCGCCAGCTTCAGTCGCACACGTAGGGAGGGACGACGTAACACAACAGAATAGCGGAGGTGTGGATACCAGAACATGGGACATAGAATATGTGAAGCGTACATAATGTATATGGCAAAATAGGGGGTGGGGGTGGGAAGAAGGAACATTTAAGTAAAAAGCCCCCAAAATGTTATTGGCGGTGGGGGAAAGAGCTGTGAAACATAGAAGAAGTGAATTTAGAGGGGATTGTGTAAGCGTTGAAATGTCTAAGTAACAACTGGAGGAGTGCTGACCAGTGTAATGGAAAAGATGGTCCAGTGTAAAAAAAAGGAGGGGAGGGAGAGAGAATCAACATTAAAACAGTGGTGCTGACCAGTGTAATGGAAAAGATGGTACAGTGTAAAAAAAAAGGAGGGGAAGGAGAGAGAATCAACATTAAAACAGTGGTGCTGACCAGTGTAATGGAAAAGATGGTACAGTGTAAAAAAAAAGGAGGGGAGGGAGAGAGAATCAACATTAAAACAGTGGTGCTGACCAGTGTAATGGAAAAGATGGTACAGTGTAAAAAAAAAGGAGGGGAGGGAGAGAGAATCAACATTAAAACAGTGGTGCTGACCAGTGTAATGGAAAAGATGGTACAGTGTAAAAAAAAAGGAGGGGAGGGAGAGAGAATCAACATTAAAACAGTGGTGCTGACCAGTGTAATGGAAAAGATGGTACAGTGTAAAAAAAAAGGAGGGGAGGGAGAGAGAATCAACATTAAAACAGTGGTGCTGACCAGTGTAATGGAAAAGATGGTCCAGTGTAAAAAAAAAGGAGGGGAGGGAGAGAGAATCAACATTAAAACTGTGGTGCTGACCAGTCAGGTGGAGAGGACGGCCCAGTGTAAAAAATAAGCCGTGACTTAAGTAAGAGGAAGAGAACAGACGTGGGGAGGGGGGGGGAGTGGCGACTAGTCTCCAGGTAAACGAAAACATTAAAACAGATAAGCAAGCAACATCATTAGGGCGAGGTTCTAAAATAAACCTTGGTGTTTGACGTGCACTCATCACTTCAATAGACACGACACCATAAAATACGATGTTAACCCAAGATGATACAAGAGGATGTTCCCGTAGCAGGTGGACGATCAATGGGGTCGTGAAGGGGTCCATAAAAAGTGTTGGGGGTGGGGTCGTGAAGTGGTCCATAGAAAGTGTTGGGGGTGGGGTCATTAACAGAAAGACAGGCAGCCATGGTCTAGTGGCAGGTGCTGGTCAGTTACCTGTCAGCAGATGGTCACCGGACAAAAACTCGCTGGTCTCATCTAGTGGAACATCACGCTTAGCGTCTCGCTTCTTTTTACTACATACGCTTAGCGTCTAGCTTCTTTTTACTACATGCACATCACGCTTAGCGTCTCCCGTCTTTTTACTACATGCACATTACGCTTAGCGTCTCCGACTTTTTACTACATGCATATCACGCTTAGCGTCTCCCGACTTTTTACTACATGCATATCACGCTTAGTCTCTCCCTTCTCTTGAGATACACGGGGCATCAATCTAGTAGTAAAAACACACCCAAACCACAAGCAAAAAACTTATCTGGACCAGACAGAATAAACAGAGACACAACTAGGGCCTATGTATCACTAAACAGAGACACAACTAGGGCCTATGTATCACTAAACAGAGACACAACTAGGGCCTATGTATCACTAAACAGAGACACAACTAGGGCCTATGTATCACTAAACAGAGACACAACTAGGGCCTATGTATCACTAAACAGAGACACAACTAGGGCCTATGTATCACTAAACAGAGACACAACTAGGGCCTATGTATCACTAAACAGAGACACAACTAGGGCCTATGTATCAATAAACAGAGACACAACTAGGGCCTATGTATCACTAAACAGATCATAGCGGGTACTCGCGTGATATCATTTATTCAGTAGAAGTCTCTTTGAATAGTCGATACCCCCTCCCATAATTTTCAGGACATTTTAAAAAAAAGTTAAAAGCAGAGAGTAATATGGCAACCAGTAAATGTATGTATAACACAAGTATTACTTAAAGAATACACTGGATACATGCGGAAGTTGTAGCAAAACCTGAAATAAAACAAGCCAGCAGCTGATGTTGGCCTGGAGGTGCACGCTGGCACACACACACACACAACACACATAGAGAGGAACCTGAGAAAACTCTTGACATACAGCATAAGATAAGTGGAGCCTGGCTGAGGGAGGAACTAGTGGCTGAAGGGTAGCAGTCTATCACATGATATAGGTAGATGTCTGATATCACATGATATAGGTAGCAGTCTGATATCAGATGATGAATACTGGTAGCTCATAGGTTTACCTTTAACCTAGTGGCTAACTGTGAGAAACATTTGTTTACCTTTAACCTAGTGGCTATCTGTGAGAAACATTTGTTTACCTTTAACCTAGTGGCTAACTGTGAGAAACATTTGTTTACCTTTAACCTAGTGGCTAACTGTGAGAAACATTTGTTTACCTTTAACCTAGTGGCTAACTGTGAGAAACATTTGTTTACCTTTAACCTAGTGGCTAACTGTGAGAAACATTTGTTTACCTTTAACCTAGTGGCTAACTGTGAGAAACATTTGTTTACCTTTAACCTAGTGGCTAACTGTGAGAAACATTTGTTTACCTTTAACCTAGTGGCTAACTGTGAGAAACATTTGTTTACCTTTAAACTAGTGGCTAACTGTGAGTGTGAGAAACATTTGTTTACCTTTAAACTAGTGGCTAACTGTGAGAAACATTTGTTTACCTTTAACCTAGTGGCTAACTGTGAGAAACATTTGTTTACCTTTAAACTAGTGGCTAACTGTGAGTGTGAGAAACATTTGTTTACCTTTAAACTAGTGGCTAACTGTGAGAAACATTTGTTTACCTTTAAGCTAGTGGCTAACTGTGAGAAACATTTGTTTACCTTTAAACTAGTGGCTAACTGTGAGTGTGAGAAACATTTGTTTACCTTTAAACTAGTGGCTGTGAGAAACATTTGTTTACCTTTAAACTAGTGGCTAACTGTGAGAAACATTTGTTTACCTTTAAACTAGTGGCTAACTGTGAGAAACATTTGTTTACCTTTAAACTAGTGGCTAACTGTGAGAAACATTTGTTTACCTTTAAACTAGTGGCTAACTGTGAGAAACATTTGTTTACCTTTAAACTAGTGGCTAACTGTGAGTGTGAGAAACATTTGTTTACCTTTAAACTAGTGGCTGTGAGAAACATTTGTTTACCTTTAAACTAGTGGCTAACTGTGAGAAACATTTGTTTACCTTTAAACTAGTGGCTAACTGTGAGAAACATTTGTTTACCTTTAAACTAGTGGCTAACTGTGAGAAACATTTGTTTACCTTTAAACTAGTGGCTAACTGTGAGAAACATTTGTTTACCTTTAAACTAGTGGCTAACTGTGAGTGTGAGAAACATTTGTTTACCTTTAAACTAGTGGCTGTGAGAAACATTTGTTTACCTTTAAACTAGTGGCTAACTGTGAGAAACATTTGTTTACCTTTAAACTAGTGGCTAACTGTGAGAAACATTTGTTTACCTTTAAACTAGTGGCTAACTGTGAGAAACATTTGTTTACCTTTAAACTAGTGGCTAACTGTGAATGTGAGAAACATTTGTTTACCTTTAAACTAGTGGCTAACTGTGAGAAACATTTGTTTACCTTTAAACTAGTGGCTGTGAGAAACATTTGTTTACCTTTAAACTAGTGGCTAACTGTGAGAAACATTTGTTTACCTTTAAACTAGTGGCTGTGAGAAACATTTGTTTACCTTTAAACTAGTGGCTAACTGTGAGTGTGAGAAACATTTGTTTACCTTTAAACTAGTGGCTAACTGTGAGAAACATTTGTTTACCTTTAAACTAGTGGCTAACTGTGAGAAACATTTGTTTACCTTTAAACTAGTGGCTAACTGTGAGAAACATTTGTTTACCTTTAAACTAGTGGCTAACTGTGAGAAACATTTGTTTACCTTTAAACTAGTGGCTAACTGTGAATGTGAGAAACATTTGTTTACCTTTAAACTAGTGGCTAACTGTGAGAAACATTTGTTTACCTTTAAACTAGTGGCTGTGAGAAACATTTGTTTACCTTTAAACTAGTGGCTAACTGTGAGAAACATTTGTTTACCTTTAAACTAGTGGCTAACTGTGAGAAACATTTGTTTACCTTTAAACTAGTGGCTGTGAGAAACATTTGTTTACCTTTAAACTAGTGGCTAACTGTGAGAAACATTTGTTTACCTTTAACCTCTAGTGGCTAATTGTGAGAAACATTTGTTTACCTTTAAACTAGTGGCTAACTGTGAGAAACATTTGTTTACCTTTAAACTAGTGGCTAATTGCCGCAGATAAAACATGCTCATGTCCTCTAGAATAAGCGCCGAACCAGCCGGTCCATCTGATCGTCTGCTAGACGGACATTTCCCGGGATCCGAGTTTTTTCTAAGCAATATTTTATCCATGGTCATTGGTCAGATAAAACACCGCCACTAGTGTGCTGACACACTGTCCAGAACTGGGGCAGCACGGCACTACATAGGTTCGTCACTTATCAGTTCTGGTCCCAACACACAACACACGGCTGCGTCACTTATCAGTTCTGGTCCCAACACACAACACAGAGAACAGAGGCGACGACTTGATAGATCCGCTTGTCACTGCCTCTAGCACAGACTGGGTGCAGATAGTTATCCAAACACTGTCTCCCGTAATTGGTGGGGAGAGAAAACACTGAGGTAATTACTGAGACAATTAAACACCTGTGTTAATCACCGCGCCGTTGTACAACTACATCACGTAATACCTGTATTCATTAGCGATGATGTATGTATTGTATAGTATAGCAGGCCTCCATAAACCAATCACCGAAACTTGTCAAGTAGAGTGAAATTAATCAACCTAAAATACATATGTAGGGTGAATGTTCACACCTCTGGTAGTTGGCCTGCACACCATCAACACACCAAGAAGTGTGTGCCGTGTGAAATAAAAAACACATAATCCGTGTGATACACAGGCCATCAACACAAAGCGCTAATACAATCAATGTAATCCCGTGTCCTTGCCGAGCGGGGAAAGCGAGGGAGGCAAGGTGGGCCGCGAGTGGCAGACCGGTTATTTGCTTACAGCTGGGGCACCACCGGCTGGGGCACCACCGGCTGGCCCACAATTTGTCACCCACTTTTGTGCTCCGGCGGTATCCACAGAGAAAACGCTAGCCCGGCTAGCACTTGATCACACGGGGAATCTCAGAGGAAGTGATTCATTTCAATGATTAACCAACAGGTTTTCCACATGTCAAAGTTCAACATACATAAACAAGGAGGTCTGAAAGTCACGTGACTAAGACAAGCTTAAAGAATACACCTGAAAGAGGAAATAGATCAGGACGAAGTGAACCGAATGACTAGCAGCGCACAGGTTAAGATAACTGGGTAAATAATCAATGGGAAACTAGGTCAAATGGAATCTGTTGATGAGACAAATGTACATCCAGTTGTTACACTAGGCCCTAGTTACAGAGAGACGATGGTGACCAGACTCGTAGACAATCTACGCCCCATTTCTCACAGACCTTTGTTAGCTGGCGACTGACAAAGGGTGACTACCTGGACAGTAAACATTGGATGGAGAAGTTACAGCATTAAACACAACCCAAGGTCTGTAACTGGCTAAAACAGACAGGTCTGTAACTGGCTAAAACAGACAGGCCTGTAGCTGGTTAAAACAGACAGACAGCTCTGTAGCTGGCTAAAACAGACAGGCCTGTAGCTGGTTAAAACAGACAGGCCTGTAGCTGGTTAAAACAGACAGACAGCTCTGTAGCTGGCTAAAACAGACAGGCCTGTAGCTGGCTAAAACAGACAGGCCTGTAGCTGGTTAAAACAGACAGACAGCTCTGTAGCTGGTTAAAACAGACAGGCCTGTAGCTGGCTAAAACAGACAGGCCTGTAGCTGGTTAAAACAGACAGGCCTGTAGCTGGTTAAAACAGACAGACAGCTCTGTAGCTGGTTAAAACAGACAGGCCTGTAGCTGGCTAAAACAGACAGGCCTGTAGCTGGTTAAAACAGACAGGCCTGAGTAAATCTTGTGTGTTCTGGTATTTACACAAGACGCGGGCCAATGTTTGCTGTAGGCCAGTCACTACAGCACCACGGGTGTCTTCTGTGTTGGAAGACATCGCAGTCTGCCGTAGACAGACACCGTAGCCTGCCGTGGACAGACACCGTAGCCTGCCGTGGACAGACACCGTAGCCTACCGTGGACAGACAGACACCGTAGCCTGCCGTGGACAGACACCGTAGCCTGCCGTAGACAGACACCGTAGCCTGCCGTGAACAGACACCGTAGCCTGCCGTAGACAGACACCGTAGCCTGCCGTGGACAGACACCGTAGCCTGCCGTGGACAGACACCGTAGCCTGCCGTAGACAGACACCGTAGCCTGTCGTGGACAGATACCGGAACGTGCCGTAGATAGACATTGTAGTCAAGTAGACACGTGACCGAATCGTAACCAAATTACCGAAGCGTGCAATAAGGCATTTTTACCGACTGATCGACTAATTTATTCAAATAATTTCCACGTGTGAATGTGGTCTGAGGTAACAAAAGTAAACACTGCGCGTGGTTGAACACATACAAATCCTCACACAGGGAGAGACGAGTCTGAACAAAAGAACAGCAACACGTTTTAAATACATGCGCACGAGTGAGTGGATTAAAGAGACCAGTGTAGTCGTGAGTCACATAAATCTTGCCAGTCAGACGGAGGTGAGCCCCACGCCCCTTACCGCACGCTGCACGCACTGTCAACAGACAGACACACACGTCTGCTGCAGGTTGCTCAACTACACACATTCTTCTGTGTGCTCACACCTCCCCAGTGACCCACACGTGCTTGTCTGCTGAAGGTTGCTCAACTACACACATTCTTCTGTGTGCTCACACCTCCCCAGTGACCCACACGTGCTTGTCTGCTGAAGATTGCTCAACTATACACATACTTATGTGTTCTCACACCTCCCCAGTTACATGCATGTTTCTCAACTACACACATTTTTCTGTGTGCTAACACCTCCCCAGTTACACACACGTGCTTCTCTGCTGAAGGTTTCTCAACTACACACATTCTTCTATGTGCTCACACCTCATCAGTTACACACACGTGCTTGTCTGCTGAAGGTTGCTCAACTACACACATTCTTCTGTGTGCTCACACCTCACCCGCTACATACACGTGCCTGGTCGTAGACGCAACAACCTTGTATTAACGTAGTAAACACGAAGAATGCAGGCGCCTCCCCTCCCTTGAATGATAAGACAGCTGGTGTCAGCCAATCAACACCGTCCATAGTATAAACATGGGTTAATCAGAGCAGTGGAGTATTTTTTTTTCTGGTAAACATATGCAGTTAAGACAGACATGACACATTTAATTGGTCATTGGCTAACAGAAACAGACATGACACATTTGAATTGGCCATTGGCTAACAGAAACCAACATGACATATGTCACCTCCACACATCTGACATGGACGCAGCAGAACGGCACATATAGTGATAAACCTCACACAAACAACTCAGTTGACCAGACACAAACCACTACTGAGTGTCATATACGTCTGAATGTTATGTGACAGGACGGTGGTCCACGCTCAGATGACCATTCACAGATCAAAGGGTATCACGTGGACTAAGCCCAAGACAAATGAATACAGCCCCCCCCCCCCGCCCCCCCGGCATATACTCTCTTTATTTACGTCAACGTTTCATTACTTCAAGTGGCGCGGGATATTTTCTCACACTGCAGGTTGTGTTTATACAGTGTAACGCCTGGCTCAGTCAACGATCCAACAGATTTCAATGGTCGTGTGAAGCTTGCCGTTGAACAGAGCCAGTGTTGCTAGATCTACGTTACAGGGATCCAGGTCACACGCCATTATCATATCAATACACGTCTATCGTACACACTCTTCGCTTCATGCCATTCACATGTTTAAACATAACGTAAGCATAGCGAGAAGAGAACATTCAACGCGTCTAACATACACAATCTTCGCTTCATGCCATTCACATGTTTAAATATAACGTAAGCATAGCGAGAAGAGAACATTCAAATCGTCTAACACATACACAATCTGTAGAACCATTCAACCGTCAGACACCAATGGTTGAGTAGGCAGTAGAACCATTCAACCGTCAGACACGAGTAGGCAGTAGAACCATTCAACTGTCAGACACGACTGGTTGAGTAGAACCATTCAACCATCATACATTAGTAGACAGTAGAACCATTCAACCGTTAGACACCACTGGTTGAGTAGGCAGTAGAACCATTCAACCGTTAGACACCACTGGTTGAGAAGGCAGTAGAACCATTCAACCGTTAGACACCACTGGTTGAGTAGGCAGTAGAACCATTCAACCGTCAGACATGAGTAGGCAGTAGAACCATTCAACCGTCAGACAAAAGAGTAGGCAGTAGAACCATTCAACCGTCATACATGAGTAGGCAGTAGAACCATTCAACCGTCAGACACCATTGGTTGAGTAGGCAGTAGAACCATTCAACCGTCAGACACGAGTAGGCAGTAGAACCATTCAACCGTCAGACACCATTGGTTGAGTAGGCAGTAGAACCATTCAACCGTCAGACATGAGTAGGCAGTAGAACCATTTAACCGTCAGACATGAGTAGGCAGTAGAACCATTCAACCGTCAGACATGAGTAGGCAGTAGAACCATTCAACCGTCAGACATGAGTAGGCAGTAGAACCATTCAACCGTCAGACACCATTGGTTGAGTAGGTAGTAGAACCATTCAACCGTCAGACACCATTGGTTGAGTAGGCAGTAGAACCATTCAACCGTCAGACACCATTGGTTGAGTAGGCAGTAGAACCATTCAACCGTCAGACATGAGTAGGCAGTAGAACCATTCAACCGTCAGACACCATTGGTTGAGTAGGCAGTAGAACCATTCAACCGTCAGACACCATTGGTTGAGTAGGCAGTAGAACCATTCAACCGTCAGACACCATTGGTTGAGTAGGCAGTAGAACCATTCAACCGTCAGACACCATTGGTTGAGTAGGCAGTAGAACCATTCAACCGTCAGACACCATTGGTTGAGTAGGCAGTAGAACCATTCAACCGTCAGACATGAGTAGGCAGTAGAACCATTCAACCGTCAGACATGAGTAGGCAGTAGAACCATTCAACCGTCAGACATGAGTAGGCAGTAGAACCATTCAACCGTCAGACATGAGTAGGCAGTAGAACCATTCAACCGTCAGACACCATTGGTTGAGTAGGCAGCAGAACCATTCAACCGTCAGACACCATTGGTTGAGTAGGCAGTAGAACCATTCAACCGTCAGACATGAGTAGGCAGTAGAACCATTCAACCGTCAGACATGAGTAGGCAGTAGAACCATTTAACCGTCAGACATGAGTAGGCAGTAGAACCATTCAACCGTCAGACACCATTGGTTGAGTAGGCAGTAGAACCATTTAACCGTCAGACATGAGTAGGCAGTAGAACCATTCAACCGTCAGACACGACTGGTTGAGTAGGCAGTAGAACCATTCAACCGTCAGACACCATTGGTTGAGTAGGCAGTAGAACCATTCAACCGTCAGACATGAGTAGGCAGTAGAACCATTCAACCGTCAGACATGAGTAGGCAGTAGAACCATTCAACCGTCAGACACCATTGGTTGAGTAGGCAGCAGAACCATTCAACCGTCAGACACCATTGGTTGAGTAGGCAGTAGAACCATTCAACCGTCAGACATGAGTAGGCAGTAGAACCATTCAACCGTCAGACATGAGTAGGCAGTAGAACCATTTAACCGTCAGACATGAGTAGGCAGTAGAACCATTCAACCGTCAGACACCATTGGTTGAGTAGGCAGTAGAACCATTTAACCGTCAGACATGAGTAGGCAGTAGAACCATTCAACCGTCAGACACGACTGGTTGAGTAGGCAGTAGAACCATTCAACCGTCAGACACCATTGGTTGAGTAGGCAGTAGAACCATTCAACCGTCAGACATGAGTAGGCAGTAGAACCATTCAACCGTCAGACACCATTGGTTGAGTAGGCAGTAGAACCATTCAACCGTCAGACACCATTGGTTGAGTAGGCAGTAGAACCATTCAACCGTCAGACACCATTGGTTGAGTAGGCAGTAGAACCATTCAACCGTCAGACATGAGTAGGCAGTAGAACCATTCAACCGTCAGACACCATTGGTTGAGTAGGCAGTAGAACCATTCAACCG